AGGTAGGAGTGCCTACAACTCAGTAATGATGAATAGTACTAGTGTGTTGGTCTCAAAATAGCATTTTGGAAGAGGCTGGCTTTCTTTTTCAGGTTCTCATCTATACTATGGCTACAAATTACACAATCATAAATATCGCTTTGCAGGCACTCTAACCACCAACACTAGATTTTGCCACTTGGGAATGTAAACCAGAACCCATAATACTGATTATGTTAGTTTCTCAATTCTCACTGAGAGACCTGAACATTTCCTACTTCATAAACTTGTTAAACAATTGTCCTACTGGGAGATCTTCTATGCGAATTATCCATGCTGACCTGAAAAAATTCTCTAACTTCTTAAGTAGTAGCTGAAAAACAGTTTTGTGCACACATAGATAGTGGCTTTTTCGGTATGTTGGGGTTGTTTTGTTTGTTTGTTGTTTTTTCGTTTTGGTTTTTTAGTTTTCAATTTTAAATATGTTGTGAAATTCCCAGATCTTGAAACAGTAACAGAAAGATGGCAGGACCTCTCCTACATGCCAAGTATGCTTTCACTGCCATCTCTACAGGTCACTAATACATTCACTGTCATTCCTATGAAATGACCCAGATTTCACCATTTATAGGCTTTTGAGAAAATCTGCAGTTAAATGTTGTCCTGGAGAACAGGAATTCAGCCAGGCTCCACCACTGATCTCTGGTAGGATGCCAAGCAAGTCACTTAAAATCAACTTTTCAGATGATCATTAGGCTGCATTATTTATTCAAATAACAAAATCCATTCTTTGAAGAGTTACTTAGGCCTAGCTATACTTGGAAACAAGCATCTTAAGTTCTCAAAATTCCGTTCTTACTTTTTGCCAAAGATTTGCTTCAACAGATCTACCTGAAAAATGAAAATAATGCACACACACACCCCACACACACCACTTTAATGAATTACATGAACTCTGTAGTTCCAATTACCTTAAAAAGCCAAAGAAGAAAAAAAAAAAAAAGCTTTAATCTTCTGAGTAGGACTTGAATAGTACGCCATAAACACAGCCTGGCCATTTGAGCAATGAAGCTAGCCCAAAATATCAAACAGCTGCTCATTAAACCAGTTATCCATCTTGAGATGTATCTTGTGGAATATATCTACTCATGTATTAAATACTGCTTAACAGATGCATCTATGAAGAGGTGAAACACTTCATAATCACATGAAAAATCCATAACTTCTTTATTGGTCTTCAGGGAGGATTTTTTTTTTTTTTCCTTCACAGAAAGTAGAAATTAAGAGGAAAGGAATAATCAGAAGGGGTCAAGCCAGAAATCTGGCTTCAATAAGTGATACAAATAAAGATGCCTAAAAACAACAGAAAAAAATCTGTATCAAGGCCCAGTGCAATGTAATTCATTAAGATGAACAAAATCACAACCATTAGCAGCTACAGTAGCTAACAATAACGAACTTGTCAGAGTTCGTTTTCATGCAACCTTTTTTTTTTCCAGAGATATATATATTTTAAAAATCCAGATATGATGCCACCTTAGATTGTTCAGCTTACCAAGCATAGCCACCTGATCACAACATCACACTCTCTTTCCCACATCTTATTAGTGCTGTCTGATGGTCACTCAAATGACAAATAACTATCCCTAGGTTACATTTATTTTTTGAGTTATAGAACAATAATGATGATCTCCTCCAGCAGCAGACAATTATGCTTATTCTGTACAGTTCTACATTTCTTAGGAAAGCATGGTAACCAGCACCCTTATTAGACATCAAACTAAACCGTATTTGAACAATCACCACCCCAGACTTTTCTTTAAAACACCACTTATTCCTGAGCATGAGGGGGGGGCCCTAGCGCAGGGCCACAAGTCTTTGTGAACTAAAAAATGGTAAAAACAAGCTAAAGATGACTTACTGCTTTCAGTACTTTTCAGTAATTCAGGACAGGTCAAGCACATCAGAAGACTGTGGTACCTACATGATTACTAAAGGACAGTCACTGGACTGGCAGTGGAACACATCCTTTACTAGCAGACTTTATTTCAACACCCGAAGTAAAAACGTAACATACTTTTTTACAGGTTGTACAGAAATCATGCCAGTGTAGTCTGCAATTCATGAATTGTTAATCATTACATAGTCAAGAAAGAACTAGGCATCTCAAGTCACATTTTTAAAAGCCATTATACCTGTCAAATTTTTTTTATTTTTTTTTTTAATGACCTTGAGTAAGGTTCCTACAAACAACCCACACAAGAGAAAAGGAGAACTGAGATATAAAGATAATATTTTAGAAGGTCTGAGTCTACTGTGGAAACCTTCATGTGATTTTTTCACATAATAGAGAAGGTGTAAGATGCAACGCAAGAAGCTTTTCAAGAGATCATTGCTTTAACATCCACAAAGCAACAGTTTTTGAACCATCACTCATTCTCCTAACATTTAAGATTAGGAAAATTATAATGGAAGTACTACAAACCTAGTTGAAAGAACTCTTAAAACCAGCAAGGACACAGCCACATAGAATGAACCTACTGAAATACATGAAATCTGGTTAAGTTCTTTAAACAAAAGAAAAAAAGCAAAACTATTCTTCCAACAATCCAGCTTTCATGTCTCTGCCATCTTTCACCCAGCACATACTTTTTACTCCCTGTTCAGCAGATGATAACATTCGTGTATCGAGGAACATCAGCCATAGATCACTACCTTCTGATAGGTGCCTGTAGCACTTCTTCAGTCTTCCAGTTTATGAATTATGAGGCATATAGGACTAGTACACTTGATTGATGCTGATTTTTTCTTATATTAAGTAATCTAGGAAATACAACTCAATTTTTCACTTTTCCTCCTCCATTTTCACCATATGATCAGTCTGCATATCATTTTTACAGAACTGTAGATTTAAAGCATATCCCTCATTCCCTAACTAAACTAGCATGAAATTAAGATTTAACAGCATTAACTAAAATTAATTCACATAATTTTGTGACACCTTGCACAGGAGGATTTTGTATTCAATTCCAGATTGTCCCAGCAAATCAGGCTGTGAGACTCTAGGTGGAGATGTCACAGAAGTAATTAAGGCTCTCTCCTTGAAATAAGATCACATCAGAGATCAATAAAAGATTTAAGAGTCTGGGAACATACCAACATGAAAATAACTCATCACCAAAAATGATTAATTCACTAAGTTTTCCTTTTAGGCAAAGCAAGATAAAGTCTGTATACCTTGAAACTCCAAGTTTCCTTCCCTCTCTACCAAGAATTCACATCTTTCAGTCCCATTTTCCAAGCAAAGTAACCTCTAACCTGGAGAACAAGCATGGAAAGTTTCATTGACAAAGTGGTATTTTTTGCTGAGCTACATTGTGTCCTAACAGTTTCATTCTAAACTTCTACATAAGCTCTAAATTATGGGTTTAGTTCATGCAAAATCTGCCATTGCATGCCAGCCGTATGTCAAAGTATGATTTCTATCTCTTACATATATGCGGACATTACTTGAGGTAAACTATTTTTCTTGTAAAGCAATACCTTGACCTTTTCCTTTTTACTATTCCTACAGTTTGGTCCAGAGAGTGAAATTTATCTCTGTGATTTAATTAACTCAAAGTAATACAATTCAAATATGACAGAGCTTGTAACGTAGAGTCTAAAATGCCAGGTTAATTTTTTATTTTATCTATAAGCAATCATTTTATATCTGTTAGAGTTGCTGTGTTAAGCTGTGTTAATCAACCTAGAACAACTCACCACCATTCTTTAGAGAGTAGAGAGAGCAGGAAAAACCAATACATATGGAGCTTTCTCATTTTATTCCTATTTGCAAATTCAAGGTATCCTATTCTATTTCAGCTTCTTCAGTTCTTGAGTTTCAGGAGGAAAGGAGATTGGTTTGGGGTTTTTTTTAGATTAAGCTCTAAATATTTCATGAAGTCCAAATGATTTAGTAACATGAACTCCTTTATACTTAGAATGTAATTAAGAAGAAAAAGGAACAAACCAGTCTACGACAAGAAACTCATGTCTCCTAAATGTATAAGAAAAATCCACTAGATTTGTTTCTAGATTACTTTCCTATTTCTACCCAAAACTGAATTGAAGAAAATTTTCCTCCTTTACAAAGTTTCTGCTATCACCTTACCATATTTACGATTCTTGTATATGCTGAATATACTGTAGACATTCCCATGCACAAACACACACAGTATGCACAGAAAAAACATATATCTTTTCAAGAAACAAATTGTAAAATTTATTATATTGAACCATATAAAATTGAGCATGAAGGTTTAAACATGCTAACTGAGCAATAAAAATCTATACTTCTAGAATCATTTATTATCGTGTAAAACCTAAATTTCTAATTCCTGACACCTGAGGCCTTGTTAAATAATGTTTGCTCTTCTGCTTATGAATGCATTTTTCCCAAACAATAAACACAAGCAGCCTATGGGATTAAAGCATGACAAAGGTGTAGCTGACTCATGGGATCAATTAGAAAGCATCAGTACTTACGCCTTTTGTTCATTCCATGTTTTACTAACAGTTTCTGCATTTTCAGCATAAGTGTACCACAGATGTTAAACGCCATGCTACAAGGCAACAGCACACTAGTACTATACACTAGACAGAATAAATCTATTCTTATCACCACCTACAATTACATCACTTGTTACAGAGCTTGAATATTTCTTTAAAGTTTTAACAAATACATAACAATTTAACTGAATGCTCATCGCTTGTATTCCGATGAAATTATGTTAGCATTTTTTCAGCAAATTTTTAACATTCAAAAAAACCCCACAGAGTTGCCTTTTCTGAGCTAAAAACAATCTGAAATACAGCCACCAACTCTAATGCCACCTCAGGTACAGCTTTCCCTCGAAACCCACTATTAGATAAATTCACAAGCAGGAAAGCCCGCGAGCAGGATGACAAGCAGTTTCAATCTCCATGCAGTTTGCCTGTGACAGGTTATTGATAGAACAAATGGAATTTGCAATACTTACTGAGTGTTTCTCCTGCTGGCCCATAACTCCATGGTTAGCTGGGATTGCAAGTGGTTTCATAATGAAGAAACATAAACTGAACTGAATTTACACATCATGTACCAATTTCTTATGGATGGCAAGTCACCCTCTACAGCATTAAATTAAAAAGCGGAGGAGGGGGGAGAATCAAGCTGGAGCTAAAAGTGTCACTACTGGTAAGCTCAAAACCCCCCTCGCACTTGTAGTGCAGAGCAGCAATCCAAACGACAGCGTTAGTCTCCATTTTTGTAACACTGAAAGTCTAAGCATGTCAGGACGTACAGAGCCTGATGAAACCCTACATATCCAGCATTCATCCAAGGGAACAAAACCATTCCCTAAGCCTGAGGAATGGGAAGAAAAGAAAAAGGAGGAAAAAAGCTAAAATGGCTGACTGCACAGAGACTCCCTCAAAAAGGCTTAATACAGTATTATATTAGTCAGGGTGCAGGAACCAGCCTCCAGCATTCAGCCAAGCATTGTTAATACTCCTGTTTCATTTGCAATCACACACACTCACACACGCAGCCTTCCCCCTCTCCACCACTACCCTACACTCCCCCAAAATCAGGGCAGAGCACGCGAACAGGGACCTCCTCCCCTGGCTGCTAATGATGCTGACAGAGTAGTGACCAGTGATCTCTGTTCCACTCAGCTAACCAAGTTTGCACAATTAATCTTAGCAGCATGACATTGATGGACATTTAATTTTATGATGCCTGTTCCTTGCAATCAAGACAAGCACATCTACCGCCCAAAGAGTCAGCAACAACAATACAACACAGTCACACACACACAAAAACCCAGAGAATCATGAGTCTGAATGCAATACGCCAATATAATTACGTTATTGTGCTTACTTTGGAAGACCATGGCTGCAGGCAGTTGGCATAGCAACGCACAAGGAAAGCCATTTCCTGGGTAGAAAGAATGCTTCCTTTTCTAAATAAAAAATTCCTCTTAGGATACAAACGGCATTGCTGCTTCCTGCAGAAAGCAAAGACACTGTAGTCTGTCTCTTAACCTGCACACAGGCACACACTCAATGCAGTTCGAGTGATGTAAGTGGATTGCTCGCTCTCTCTCCTCTCCCTCCCTCTCCCTTTATCCACCGAAATATTCAAGTCAAATGGAAGACACATTCCTTGAGGCTCACCCCCTCGGATACTTAACCATTTCACTCATTAAGGTAGAGATGGACAATGCAGATAAAAGAGCAAGCTCTTGCCTGTATCTGGTATCAGCCTCTGAAGATCAAGGCAGCCCCAGAGGGGAGGGATACGTTCGCTGCTGGCTCCTAAGAATATCACCGAAGTCAGGGTGGGAATAAGGACCCACATATACCTCACCAAATCCTGAAGTGAACATGACTTTTCATGAAGATGAGGATAAAGCAGAGGGTTTGACATCACCTCCCTTTTTCCCCCACCCAAAAGAGTGCTGCTGCAGAGCTGTAAACATTGTTATCAAGTATTTATAAACAGTGCACTCTCGGATTTTCAGCAGCTTCGCCACTTATGCAGGCCACAGATATCCAGGGGCTGTGGCAGGTAACGTCCAGAACCATTTAACACATCATTTAAAGTCCTTCTGAATATAGCTCCTGTTTCTCCTTGCAAAACTAACGCACAAATTCCACTAAAAACAAAAGACCATGCAAGATCTGGAAGAGACTGACATACCTATGGCTTTTATAATTCTCTCTGCCTGTAATTATATCTTAAACTCAGAAATTTCCCCAGTCACTCTCATTTATACTGTACCACTTCTTATGTTATACTAGCAGCATCATACTGCAGAGGAGCTGGAACGCAACAGGGAATATACTCAAGCTGTAAACTAATTGTCAGCCCTATACAACACGCATCTTAAATGCCAGGAATTCACGCCACTTGACACAGGGGAGACCAAGCCAGGGCAAACAGGAACATGCCACTCTTCCACTGGGCTTCAACTTTAGTACAGTTCTCTAACACGTTTACAACATATTCTTTAAAATCAGACACCATCTGTGCTTAAAGTAACCTCAAAGTTGTTTGGTTTAGTTTTTTTAACAAGAACAATAGGGAAAAAAAAAAAAAAAGCTTCACAGCTGTTACACAGGCATAAACACACAGGAAAAAGAACGAATACTACAGAATACTATGTCATAAAGTCTGCAGCTGCCTTCCACCAAAATAACGTGTCCACCAATAATGAATTTAGTTTGTAACACAGTGATTTCTTTTGATACTGATGCCTGCTAGTAAACGAGGCTGCAAAAATAGGTGGAAATGAATTCTAGTAAAGCAAGAAAAGATCCTGAAATATCTGGTCTATTTTTTGCACAGTTATTCTAGGGATACCATTTCATACACAGCACATTTAAAATGGAATATATTTACATTTATGAGACTTTAATGACACTTGTGCCCTTGGTCTTCTGGCATATGCTAAAAGATAAGTTATTCTTTAGATGACTGAATTACAAAAATTAGTTTAGAAGTTTTAAAAGTCTTTGCAATGTGCCAGTGCCAATAACAGATGATTTTAAAATGTTAAATTATGCTTAAGCCTTGTAAAACAGACTAATGCTGAGTACAATCAATTTTCTGATGAAGTGCTGACCAGAAATATCAGAAGTTATTCATTCTAGGAAGCTTAGACAAACCCTCTCTCGTACAAAATTTAAAAATATTACTTGTTGACAAAGCAATTAAAATCCTCTTGAGTCTGATTTGATGGCCTTGTGGTTAACACCATAAGCAGAATTTGAGCGTGGAGCTTTACACTCATGTCAGGGAAAAAAATGAAGTTCTGCCAAGACAGAAACATCTCTCCAGCATAGGAAGGGAACACACCACTTTCTGGAGTACAACTATCAACATGTATTTTACTCTGCATCCGTTGGTATTTCTAGCCAAAATCTAGCCTAGATTTAGGTTTCTGTAGCATAAGCCTTTAACAGTAACACAAAAATATGATTAAAACCATTAAAACAGTAGTGAAAGTCAAAACTTACAGATCATGATGCCATGAAACACTTCCCTACTACTTATGCTGGTCCCTACTATACACCGTTACTGACCTAACAGAAAATTAAGTCAGTACTTCACACACTAATGAAAAATTTATATCAACCTAACGAATTTCAGTGCAGACTTATTAAAACTTGGTAGTTTCCAAAACAGAAAAAAAGCTTAATTATATTCAAAATGTGAAAGGTGATATTTATGTCATTAGGTGAAGAAAACAGCACTCACAGGCAATTTGTGAGTCAAAACAATTTCAAGAAATAAATGGATTCCATTTCCCTGTTCCTTGCTCCTCAGCCACCATCACTTTACACTGCACCACTGTACCTGGAACTGTAGGTACTATTCATTATCAGTTCAGAAAATAATTACATATAAATTATATTTTATAAAAAATAAAGTAGAATTTCAGTGAATCGTTATATGTTCAGTGAAGAACAAATGGAATTTATATCAATGTAAGACACCAGAACAATATATCCTGTAAAGATTTTCTCAAACAATTATGAATAATTTATACAAAACCTAACTGCAATTTTGTGCTCATGTGTATCTCAAAGTCATGTAAGAACTCATTGATTAGACAAAGTTTGAAAAAAGCAAGACACTTTTGCAAATGCTTCTAGGCAATTAAAGCAAGATGTTAATAACCCTTATGTGCAATAACTGGACACGATCATCTATCCCCAGCTGCTTTCAAAAATGTATTTATAAGCAAGCTGGTATCTCTTTATGAGTCATAGAAAAGAACATTATAAAAACCCTTTCAAAAGTAACTACAAACATCAGGACATCCTTGAACTACCCACAGGATTCATAAATAGCAGTTCTGAGTTCAAGGTAAAAATTGGTAGAGATCTTAGCAGCGTGTACCATCTGAATGTAATGCCTGTAAACTCTTTTACATTCTACAACATAATCTCACACAGATATTATTCTCCTCCAACAGTGTCAACAATGCTTGGAGTATTAAACATTTTTAGGTTAATGACAAATGCTGCAACAACAGATTACCTCAGGTCTTCCATTTCAAGCAGTCACCTTAACTCACAAGTATTTACAGGAATACTTTAAATTTTATACAGATTATGTATACTGAAAACATTCTTTTCCTGAAGTACCTCAAAACCAGAAGTTATCAGCATATTTTCCCCTTCCCTTTAAACACAATGTAAAGAATCATTTCCTTCATGTTCAAAAACTGAGCCAAAAGACAACAGAACACTGTAAGGTCACCAAATTTACTGCCACTTCATGACTTCAGTAGCTAGAAAACCGGGGGCAGGGGCCAGGGGGAAGTCAAACAAAACACCAAGGAATAAGGCCACCCCACCCCCCCCAAATCACTATGTGTGTCCCAAAAACATTCACAGCAAAGGGACTATCACACAGATGTTACACAGTTGTGTAATTTAAATGTCCCATACAGTATGAAAGTCTAACGTATTTAGACAAATTTACTGCCAGTAATTTAAATCTCTGGCCATATGACCCAATTTCATGCAGTGAGTTGCTGTTTATCAGCATAACACAAACACAGAATAGTCCCAGCACACCTGTTCTGTTTGCATTTTCTCAAGAACTTTTGAGAACCTTAAATAAAACTGTTGAAAAAAAAGGAAAATTATCAAATTTTCTATGACTAAAATACCACTTCAGCCAAAATGCATGGATAAAGTAATAGTATTTGCCATTGTTTTGGTTTTTGGTTTTGGTGGGGGTTTTTGTTTTTGTTTTTGTTTTTTTTTAATTTGTAAACCTGTGGCATTAACATTATTGTAACAATGTTTTGCTGCACCACTGGCAGCACCAAAGCAACAGTTACAATGGAGTGATGTGTGCTGTTTTGATAACACATTTACTAATGTTACAGACCATTTGAACAAACGCCCTTCTGTTGAGCTGCTGCTGCAGATGAATCTATAATCCGGATCTTTAAAATAATGACAAGCCCAGAGCAGTCAGGCTGGTGCCTCAGCTGGGTGGATGTGCCATAGACTGCCAATCTTCCCTTTGACAGCAGACTCATTTGTCACCTTCTGTGCACAGCTCTGTTTTCAGTACAGCAAACTTTCTGTTTGCATGCCATCCATGGGAGCAAGTTATAGTATTCATTTAAAATACTTGTCATCTAATTCTCTTACATACAACAGTTATGTTAGCACAGACATGAAGAAAACCTGTAACAGATTGGATACTTATCCCAAATGTGACAAGATGTCCCATTTCCAGAGTATCTACTTTAGCTTACAAAACCAACTTGAGCAAAGGTTCACCACAGTAACAGAGCACACACTCTTCTCTGGACTCCATATTTATTTACGGTTTAAATCTAACAATGCTTTTTTTTTAAAAAAAAAAAAAAAAAAGATCAACATATCTTTCTGTTGTTGCAACACTTATAAGGTCTTACTTGTTAAAATTCACTTGCATGATCAAAATCGTATTTAATATGTATGTTTGTGAAGTCCCTCTATGTGATGTTTAACTGATTTACCTGTGGTTTTTACATAAAGTAAAGGGTTATTACTT